CCCTCGCGTCCCGCAACCCCTCGGTGCCGGGGGAAGCCGAGAGACCTGCTCGGCCCCGCCCTGCCCTGCAGGGCCCTTCCTTCTGCCCCATCCCCATTCGCCTCCCCTGTTCCCCGGTCCAGGCCCTGCTCTGCGCTCCCTCTACTCTGGCCAGGACCCCAGTCAGTGCCTGGGCCTTGCACCATTCATGGGGGGCGGGGGGAATGCGTCTGTAGAGCCCACCCTTGGCTTTCTGTGGCGGTCTCTGCACTCTCTAGCCCACCCAGTCGAGGCCAGCGGACACCCCCTCCTCACTCCATCACGGTGGACTGGGGAGGCGCTGGCCTGGGAGTCCTGCTCCTGGCTACAGCAGGGAAGGGGATGGCCCCCAGCGCAGAAGGCCGTGTCTGCTGCCTTCCTGCAGCCTCTTGCAGACTGCTCTGGACACGAATACACCTGGGCAAGCTGTCTGGCCTCTCTTTTCTTGGGCTGTGAAGTGGGATTATTTGTGAGCAGTAACTGAGTTAAGGTCCGGGATAGGATTGGCCCGGTCCCCCTCCCCCATCCCTTCCCCCTTTTCTGTAGACTCACAGGTGTCCCTACCGTGCCACTATCACAGTCCCAGGTGCTTTCAGCCTGGACAGGCCCAGAGTGTCCCCAGGTGACACAACAGAAAGAGGGTATTGGGCCTTTGGTCACCACCTTCCCAGAGAAGGGCCCCTTGGAGGGACACAGCTTGCTGCACCCAGGCAGTGCCTCTGCTCCCACCCCTCCTGTGCCCTTTGATCCCTATGTGGTCCATGGGCTCCTCCATCTTTGTCTGAATCACCTGCATCCAGCACAGAGCTGTTTGCTCAGTGAGAAAGTCACGTAAATAGCACCTGGGTTCCAGAGTCTCTACTCTGTTATATTCTCAGGCCAAAGCCGGCCTCTTGTACCATGGACCTCCTTCCAGTCCAGAACTGTGACCAGTGCAGAGACACTTCAGCGTTCCAAACCCTCATCCAACACACCTCGGGTATGTTTGCAGTGCAGACTTTTTCATATATAGTCTGAGTTCTGCAGCACCACTCTGGAAGCTTGGGTCACTCTCAGAAACATGTGAATGTTTTGTAGGAAGACAGGAACTGTGCATGCAGACTGGATAAAATCTGTAATAAATGGGTATGCAGGTCCAGCTTTGCCCAAGAGCTTTGAAAACTTGTAAGTTTCAGAGCTTTTGGGAATTTGGAATTGTAACAAAGAAATGGGGGAGGTGGGATGTTATGAGACTAGGCAAGATTTCTAAGCATCCGTCCAGAGGGGCTCAGTAGAACTCCCATCTCTGAAGGCCTGGCTCTGCAAAACGGTTCAACTGGTCAGTGAACAATGGATATCTAGCACATACCCCTCGAAGCCTGTACTGAGGGGGGAGCAAAGGAAGACAGATCCCTGTCCCCAATGAGGCAATCTTGCTCCTGAAAGGACCCTGGCTAATGTGGGCCTTCCCTGGTGTTCAGCTGAGAAGGCAGCTCTGGGCAGCCCTGGGCAGCCCTGAGTCAGGGGCTTGAACTTGGCCATGAGGGACGTATATAGCAGGTCAAGTGATAGTTTGGACACAGAGTGGGAGGTGCATATGTGTAAGAGTGATAGATT